TCCACTATCTTTTAGGTCACCTCCACTTACCATCTGCCAGCCTGACAATTTTTGTGTCTACATACAAAGCATTTTGTGACTGACCGAGTTTGGGAAAATACACATTCTTATCATTGTTAAGGATTAACTTAAGTAACCTCCACCCAAAGAACAACAAAATAACCCAAACATCTAATTCGTTTTTAAATATGGAGACACATCATGATGGCTGACAGTTTTTCCACTCGTGCACTTTTGGGAGATAAAGAAAGCTGATATAAGCCCTGGGAAGCACAGAAGAGTAATTCTCAAGAACTATAAGGCAGAAAGCAAAGCCCTATGTTAATTTTTTGTACATTGTACATTATCTATATGAAGGTATACATGGGAAAGATAAACAATAAAACACTATGCCACCCTTTTAGCCACCTTATCAGGACTCTTCTTATTAATCTGCCTCATTCAGATTTTGGCTAATATGACAAACCTTTGAAGAAATATTCCTTAAATTGACAAACAAGCCATAGAAGTGTTTTCTCTCAGTCTGAAAAAGTTTAATTTTATAACTCAATATAGTAGGTCTGGAAACAATCAGTCTTTGAAAGTGATGACACTTCTCTGCACAGAAAACTGTTTAAAGATTAGGGAAAAAAAAAGGCTAGTTACACTTAGTTCAGTCTCTGAACAGAAGGCCACTTTTCCAAAAGAATAACATTATTTAGATCTGGCATTTCTATCATCTAACATACATTTTAAAAACAATGGTGGGGTAGCTTACATTGCTAAGGTTTCATTTTATTCTTCCACAGATAAAAGAGACTAACATAAATAATGTCTCTACACAACATGATCCACAATATTGTTAAATATAGTGTTTACGACTGAAGAACATGTACAAAAAGAGATGCTGATTCAACTCCCAAAGCCAAGGCTGAGAAGCAGAACTGACTTTCAGAAGGTGATACAGTTTCTGAATTGAAATTATTTTTATCTATAACCATATTTACAATCACTTGAGAATAACAACACAACTCCATTCTTGAATTTGCTCATTAATTACTTTTTAAAAGCATTTCAGGGACATGTTATATTGGGGTATATATATTAGAACATCATCTGCAGCCCAGTATCATGTAGTGTGATAACACCATATTTAGCCTCTGTGGACAAGAAAATTACTATTCTTTGTTGTCTATAAGCATCCTGTTAAGAGCCAATCTGGCATACAACATTGATCCTCGAGTGTCAAGTAACAGAAATGGGGAGTATCAGGAACAGGGAGAGAAATTAATTCAAATGTAAGTTTTCAAGCAAATATTTACAGGAACAGTATATCTAAAAACAAAAATCACACTTTTTAGAAATTATTTTTTTACAAAACATTGATTAAAAAAAATTAGAAAATATATTACTATTTCCTAGAGGTCAAATGTAACACTTCCCTCCTGCAGACAGTGTTTTTAATATGCTTTGCAATAGTCTTGTGAGATTCACCTAACTCTGTCCACCAGCAAAGGTGTATAGTCACACGTCTAACAGTACAGAAGGGGGGAAGAAAAAAATAAGGGAGGGGAGAAAAAAAAAAAAAAGGCAGAAGCTGGGGCATCAGACCCATGGACACATGCAGGCTGGCAGGGACCTGGGGAGGTCTCCAGTCACTGCTCCTGCCTAAAGCACGTTCAGCCAGGGGATCCAACCAGGCTGCTCAGGGCTTTACAAACTCAGGGACTGAAATCTCCTAAGGATGGAGATGGCCCAGCCTCCATGGGCCCCAGTCCCACTCCTGGGCTGTCCTTCTGAGGAGAAAACTTCTCCATTTCTCCAGCCTCAGCTTTTCCTGTGTCAGCTTGTGCTGCCTCTCACCGTTCTGCCATGCAAAGCTGTGAAGAACCCGACTATGTCTCATCCATGCCCTCCTATCAGTGCCAACGATGCTGTTGGATGGCCCAGCCCCAAAGCCATCCCTTCTGGCTGAACCAGCCTATCCCACAGTCTCTCCTCGCAAGGCAAGGTCTCTAGCCCCACTGTCTCACCTTCAGCCAGTTTACTGATGTCTTTCTTGGTCAAAAATGCGTGCAGTATCTAGAGTATTGAGCAGAGGGGCTCGATTCCTCCCCTGGCTCTTGAGGCCATGACCTGCTTATGCCTCACTAGGCACTACTGGCCCACATTGCTGCCTGGGTGCACAGGGCTGGCCTTGATGCAGCTTCCTGCCTGCCATTTCTCAGGACTGTCCCCAGAGCTGATCCACAGCCCCTGTATGGCTGTAGGGCTCTGCCTTCCCAGGGCAAGACTCATCATTTTTCCTGGTTAAGGCTCCTGTTGGCCTGTTTCTGTCAAGGTCCCACTGTGTGGCAGAAAAGCCCTTAAGAACATCGACTTCTCCCCAAATCTGGTGTCATCTGCAAACCTGATGAGCATGCCCACTGTCCCTTCTTCCAGATCACTGATAAAGATTTTAAACAAGACAGGTCCAGGATAGATCCTGCAGTACACCACTTATTACTAGCCTACAGAGTACAAGCCATTAACCACAGCCCTCTGAACCCAAACATCCAAATAGTTCTTTTAAACATGTTATTGTCCACCTATCCAGCTGTAACATCCTAACAGAAAAAAAAGTGTCAAAAATCTTGCTGAAGTTAAGGTCAATCACAGCCAAGCTCTCCTCTTGTCCACAGGCACAACCATTTTATTACAAAAGACCACAAGGTTGCTCAAGAACGATACAGCCTTCGTAAATCCATGATTGTTTCCAGCTGCTTTCTCAACCATGTGCCCAGAAAGTACTTCCAAAATGACCTTCTTTGTGATTTTCCCAGGGACTGAAGTGAAGGCAACAAATCTTTGTTCTTGGATTATCCTTTTCATCAAGGACTTGCTCTGATCTCTACTGCTTTTGAAAGATGATAGGCAGCAGCCCGACAGCGACAGCTGCCAACTCTCTCAGCACCCTTGGATGCAGTTCAGCTGGGCCAATGATGTGTACTAGTCAAGGTCTCTCACCTATCTCCCAACTCCTCCACTCTTGGTACTCCTCCTTGAGATCTGCCTCTAGGCACGAATGCTTGGGGGAATCTTGTTGGAGAAGACTGTGGTAAAAATGACATTCAGTACCTCTGCTGTATATATTACCTGCTGTCACTAATTCATCCTTCTCTTTCAGCAACAGGCCCCCGTTTTCCTTGTTCAGCCTTTTACTACTAAAGCAGTGCAAGAAACTCTTGTTATACCTGTCATCACTTGCAAGTATCAACCGTAGGTAGGTTACCACCATCCCTGAGTATGTTTCTCAACACCTCCTTTGTAGCTTTCTCTGTTTCCACTTCCTGAATACTTCTTTCCACCTCTGACCTACACTGGAGTTTGGTGATTAATTCTGTTTAGCCAAGCTGGTCTCCTGATACATCCACTTGTTTTCCTGAGTATCAGAGCAGAACATACTTGGGCTTGGAGGAAGCTGTGCTTGAAGACTTATCAAAATTATCAGTTTTCCTGAGCTCTTTTACCCTTCATTGCTGCTTCTCATGGGATTCACCCACCAGTTCCCTGAACAAGTTGAAGACTCTCCTCCTTAATTCCAGGTCTGTACTGTGCTACTCTCCTTCCTTCATCTTCTCAGGATCTTGGTCTTCACAATTTCATGGTCATTATAACCAAAGCTGCCATTGATTATTATTTCCTTAATCAGTACTTCCTTGTTTGTAAACAGCATCCAGCTGTGTGTCATTCCTCATTGGTTCAGGGAATACCCATCTCAAGAAGATATCTTCATCATCCTCTGGACATTAGCTTGACCTGCTTGTGACCCCACTTTGAAACACTGACACTATATACTCCCATCCCTGGAATCACATGGCTGTGACACACCTTTCACTCTTCAGCATGCCTGATCAGCCAGGAAAACAGATAAACTAAAAATTATTCTGACCCTTTTCACTGAAGCTGTGGGTAACAATGATTTTCAATAACTTATCCAATATTACAAGCACTACATTTGACAACTTGAAAATTATTAAATCACTTTAGTACACACTAGATTTTCTCCCCCAAGTATCAACAAACCATTCGTTGTCCTGGGAATCCTACAATCCTTTCATCATAACCACTCCAAGGGCCTCCATTTGCAAAAGCTTTACTCCCCATGTTAATAGATCTGAATGAAGCTCTTTACAAAGGGTTTCCATCAGCATGTGTCACCAAAACCGTTGAATTGCTAGTGGAGGAAAAAAGATATTTCTGGGCATGATGTTGATTAGATAGTGACTACATTGAATATAACAGAAGGTCATGTACTTTCATAGTGTAAAACAGCACAGCACTGTAAGTGTTCGTTAGCCACGTAACTAAAAAGAACGCACTAACCAGATGTGTAAATAAGCAGCCATCAAAAACTTCAATACCATGTTTGTGGCTTATTTGTTACAGGAATTTAAAAGAACTAGCCAATTTTCAACAGCAAAGAGGCAAAGTATCATTTAAATAAAAGATATAATATTCTGTACCATGTATTATATTATTTCCTTTTTCATTTTATCATAAACAGTAAAAATAACTTTTTAATAAATTATATGCAATAATAAGGCCTCTCACAGAGTGGAGCCCTCTGGAGTCTAGCACACAATTCATCCGAAACCGCAGTTCAAGTTTTAAAGTGTTCTGCCAAAACAACAAATATCAACTTTACTGCAACCAAATTATACATAAATTGCACACTGAGAAAAAAAATTGTGAATAATACTTCTAAGCTTTTATTATTTCACACAAATACATATAATCTCAAAATACAGTATTTTTTTTTTAATGATTACATTTTAAGATTACTATTTGAAGTCAGATTCCTGCTTTGCAACATAAATTTTTAAAAAGCTGTGGGTCTTAAGTGAAGGAATGTAAATGAATGCAAGTCCCCACTGGTAGATTTGAATATATAACTTGTTATTTAAAGAAAATAACTTGTAGTGCAAATGCCTGGAGAAGTTAATTCTGAAATAACATCCAGGAGTCCACTCCACTCCTACCTTTATTGTGGCATCATTGCCAGATTTTTCTGTTTTCCATTGTGCCTCCTGCTTCCTCAGTTTCTCCAGGTCATTTAGCAGGTCAGCACAGCATGTATTTAATCCCTTATTTTCCTCCTCCAGGTTTTTTATAACCAGTCTGTTTTGCTCTTCCTTCTTCTGTGCACACTCCTCAGTGTCCTGTAGAACAGTACCACAAGGGCCGATAAACAAAAAAGTGAGAACTAATCAGCAAATATAAACTGTGCAGTTTTACCCTCACAGCAGCTTCTTCTATATTTGATGGCCAAGGTCACCTGTGTACTTTTATTGGCCTCTTTCATGCAGGTGGAAGGGTCATATTTTTTAGCTGGATGACAGCTTTGATGAGTACACATTTGCAAAGAGCCCATTAATTGATCAAGCTGCCTTTGATGCTGTCCCCAGCTATTTTTGAGACCCACACAGACATATCCTCCCAGACCTCGGCTTTATCAATTAATAATGCCAGTCCCATCAGAATCTAATTACAAGAAGCCACATCTTCACACTCGTACTTTCTTTGCTCCATTTCCATCATTAACTATTTATCTGAAAGTTATAAAGCTTGGATTCTTGGCTTTAAAGCATCTTCTTCAGAGTCGGTATGTAAGAAAACGATAAGGTATAGCAAGGCCTAAGGCAATTTTTTCTCCAAGCTTGTCACTTTCTGTGCCACAAAGGCTGACATTGCTTAAAGAACTACTTCAAAGCTACAATCTTATGAAACTATGTACAAGTCAATATACCTTAAGTTCTTGGCTTTTATCTTTAAATTTCTGGTTCAAGTTACTGAGTTCTTTCTTCAAATGAGCATTTTCCTCATCCACAGCAATTTTTCTCTGTATTAAGTTGTTTATCTCCTGCTGCTGTCCCTTGAGTCTCTATTTTAAAAAATAATAAACTGTTAATAGACAAAAAGCAATTGTAAAAGAACATGCATGGACTGGATTTTAGACCTGTGCATTTTACACCTATGTAACAAGCTGATATATGTAGTTTCATAGCATTATTTTAATTTCAATAGTACTTTAATCATACTCAAAATCGCACGATTATACCACAGTAACATAAATAAGGAACTGAATATCTTGGAGTATCTTGCTGCTACTAAACAAAAAAGCCCATAAATGCAGAACTGGAAATTATTCAGTCAAGCTTAGACAAAAACAGTCATTTGTAGAAGTTATATTTGTGCTTAGGGATTAAGAGGACATTAGAATACTGTTTCACTTGCACTTTTAGCATACTAAAAATTAAGTCAAAAAAGTAGAGTTCAAAATTTTCCAGAATTTGTAAAGATAATGAGAAATAACTTTTAAGTGAGGAAACAGAAAAGATTGACACAAAATAGATGTAAAAAAGGAATTAAGTATAACTGAATTTGCAGCAAGGAAAATAATACAACTGTTCAACACAAACACCAGTTTAGTGTACCCACACATAGTAAAATCTCACTTCCATCAAAAAAATAACTTCAACTTTCTGTGTTGAATAGCTGCATTCTATTCTTCTGACTTCATACTAGAATACTCTCACTCTTAAATGCATATCAGAACTCTGCATTTTTCTTCGGGAGTCTGTTTTAATTCCAGGTACTGTTTTGTCCCTTCCCTTCCTAAATGAAAATGGTATTCATCTAAAACATCTTCCTAGCAGTAACAGTGCAACTGTAGTCAGAAACAGATTAAATTTAATCTACGGACAAAAATGCATCTGCTTTGCCTTTAATATACAAGCTAAAAGAAATGTGTTCAGAAACATAAAAAATTAGCAAGAAGAGGATATACCTTTAGGTTATTCTACAATACTGCTAACATACATAAGGGTTTTAAACCTCCAAATGGTTAAGTGGTTCACGTGTATGTCAGACACGAAAAAGAATGAAAGTGTGCTGAGAAAAAACATGTAAAACAATACACTTGAAGTCATATTCAGCAATCATTGATTTTAAACCTACATGCAATAATTAAGGAAAAAAAAGGAACCATGTCACCACTGAACTCAAAGTAACTCATAACAAGGAATTATAGGTAGCAGCCCTGCATACAAAGCAAGCTTTGCAGGAGTAAGCAAGGCTTGGTACACATGTCGAGCAGTGTCAGTGTGTTGGCATCCAGAGTACCCACGCTGCACAAGCAAACTCTTCACAGAGCAGTAACCACAGAGGGATGGGGCAATTTTGAGTTCTGAGTAGCAATTTGAGTATTAGCTTCTCCAAGATATGCGCACTCTTCTCCCTCCTCTGCACAGTTACTGAACACGAAGTAAATTTCTCTGCCCTTTCTGCTGCATTTGACCTCTAGCTTAATAGTCAATAAACTAAATTTTTCAGTATTACCAGAATTAATTCATGTAAAAAGAATTAATTTCACATACTTGATTAGAAAACTAAGGTTGGCAGAAATTATTTCTTTATGAATTATTATTTAAATCACTAGTGAGCTAGTGTGACTGTAAGGCACGTGAAATATACATTTGAAGATGTGCAGTGAAATTAATCTGTATATTTAGCGAATGTCTTAGTCATTAAAAATATACATGACTTCATTTCTTTGTGTGAATTGTATCTTTCCCTCCTTGTTTGTTTGGGTTTGGGGTTTTTGGTGGGGGGTTTTTGTTTGGTTTTTTTTGTGGGTTTTTTTTTTTTTTTTTTTTACTTTTTAACAGAGGCTTTTGTTATAGCTTTTTCCAAATTACTTTGAATGTCTGCCTCTCCTCTGTAGACTTCTTCACTTTTTCTACCCATTACATTCCCACCTTCCTTGCAAATATTTTTATTGTTCTACTTCTCCTACCACCATCTCCAAATATTTTCTATACATTTTTCCTCCATATTTAGTAAATTTACTTTATCCCTCTGATCACTACTGCTATCCACACACTGTTACAAATATGGTAACATATCTTAGAAAGGAATTTAAAAACAAAACCACAAGACAAAATCCCCATACCACACTACACAGCAGAAACTATGTCCAAGCAAGAACAAACCCTGCAACCGGTTCTTTTTTTGGTTCAGCATATGAGAAAGGTAACATAATCCAGCTAACTTGTGTAGCAAATATTGAATACAAAAAACCATGAACAGATAATGTTTAGTAAATAGTGTGGGGAGACATGAAGGATAATTCTTTTCCCCCACAGTAAAACTTTCACTTTATCAAGAAAAAAAAAATTCTTTGTTGTACCTCATAGTCAATAGCAGCTGCAGTAGAATCCAAAGAATATACAAAATTATGTACTTTCTATCTATGGTCTCTAAACACATGGAAAATAAAGCGAATGTGAATTGAAGAGACTGGAAAAATGAGAACAAAAATCGAGAGAAAAGTGAAAGAAAACACAGGAAGTGAAAGAAAACCCCATAGTCTCATATCTTGCCTCAGATGTTATTAATTCCAACCAACCAAGCAGACCAAAAAAAAAAAAAACAAACCCAAAACAAAACCAATCCAGAAATACCTTGTATTTAAAAGTGTTTTTAATTGGTAATTTAATCTCAAGCCTATAGTATACTTGTTTATTTTTTTATATTATAACTAACTCCCCTACAGAGACTCATTCTACAGCATGGCACTTTGAACATAATCCAGTCAAAGTCTGCCTAAGATTATAGATTCATAATCGTTATTCCACTTCCTCCAAAGAAAAACTAAACCTGAATTTCAGATTCTGAAATTTATATGAAATTTTTCTCAGAGACATAACTCAGCACACAAAGCTCAGCCTAGTTTGTCATCAGTAAACATTAAGGAAGGTATAATGAAATTTAGAAACCTCCTCTTAAGTAAGGACTCGCCTCGTTTGAACCTACCAGACACCAGGCTCAGTTTTCTGTATTCAAATAAGCAAATATTTGCTTTTCAGACATACTATTAGTTGCAGGAAAAAATTGTTGCTGGCAGAGATGATTCAGCTGCGTCTTTAAAAAGGTATGAATCCATATTACCCTGGAAAGCATCAGTTATTTTGTTTGCCTCCCTCTCACTCCCCAAGTCCCTGTAGAATCTGAGTAAGCAGCTCCTTCAAGTCTTCCCTCCAGCTCATTACTACTTGTTTAACATTTATCAAGACAAATTCTGCATTTGAAGAATACCCTTAGAAATTCTACCTATCTGAAAGAGCCTACTGGCTCTAACAGAGTGAAAAATTCACAAATACGTGCTCTCACAAAATCCTCAAGTACAGCTCCAGCTCTTTAAGGCATAGAATCACAGAATCATATAATGATTAGGTTGGAATAGACCTTCGAGATCATCAAGTCCAGCCATTGACCTAATACCACCATGCCCACTAAACCACATCCTGAAGTGCCATATCTACATGTTTTTTGAACGCCTCCAGGGACAGGGACTTCACCACTTCCAATGTTTGATGCACAAGCTACATTGTGTTACTACTTAGTTTCATTACACAGTGTGTGGAAACAGGTAAGCATATGTGTAATTGTGAAGTGAAATCAATGTCTTTGGGTCCTGTTTGGAATGGGATGTTTTCCAGTAATTTGGAGGATGAATGAAGACGTGAAGATACAAAAGTACAACTAGTTATTTCAAATGTTTGTTCCATATCGCAGAGATAAAATTTTAAACTCAAATAAGCTACTTACTTTGCATATTTTGCAGGATAATCAGACGGATTATCCTGAATCAGACTCACACAATAATTACTTATCCCCACAACCGACCCACTTAAGACTTTAAATCAATCAAAAGGCAAATACATCACATCAATCACCAAGCAGCAAACTCATCTGTGAAGTCTACAAAATCATCTACTGCAGCAGCAGGGAACATTATTTAGGTAAGTTATACCTGCATGGAAAAAATCCTCTTATGCTCCAAAGCATTTTTCTTGGGTACCACTTTGTCTGCTCTTATCTTTTCCTCTAAATGCATTGAACTTTTACTCTCATACCTGCTCATTTCACATGCTTATAAAGAAGGGAAAAAAACAGGAGTATTACTCAAGAGCCATGACTGGGCAGAAATAAGGGTCATAAAGAAGAATTTCTGAGATACAGACAATTAAGTAAATTATCATCTGCCTTTGCTTGTGCAGCTGTTTTTGCACTTTGCTTCCTCAACCTATGAATTACCTTGTATAACAGAAGGAAGAGAGTAAAGACTGATTTCTTACAGCAGAGAATAGAAGCAGTGTTCCTGAAAGACTACCCTACTCTGGCATGCAAGTGAAACAGCAGGGAAAAAACCATACCTGATCAACACATGGGGCAACCTCCCACACGAGGTTATTTTGACAGACTTCACTAGACAAAAAACACTCATCCAGAATACATCTATTCCCACAGTATCTACTGTTTTTGTCTAGACACCATAAAAGACAGGCTACTGCTACACAAGAACAATCCGAACTTATATTTCGCATTGCCTGCAGTCACACTTGTTTGAATACAATCAGCACAAAAGCAACGTTCAATAGACTTTTTACAGCTTGGTGTTCAAGAATTATAAAAAAAACCCTCATAACTAAGACAACTATAGAGTACACTGCCAAAGGTTTTTCTATAGACAAACTTCCAAATATAAGAAAGAAAACTGTATTCTAGAAGTGAAATTGCTCTAATGAAATCAAAGACACCTGGTTTTAGCCTTTTGTTTAGCTGAGAAGAATCAAAGACTATCCCTTGTATACTGTTGGAGCCCAGAATGCTCCAGATAACAGTACACACAAAGAAACAGTGTGATCTAGTGGAGCAGGTCTTTTGATGTTTAAGAGGGCTGTCATTCCAGAATTCAATTTTATCCTTTTCCATCACATCTCTTTAGCTACAACACAATACAATTTTTTTTCTTCCCTAGTAATGTCTAATTGTTTACTGGCAAAAGCTACTTTTAAAAACCTTCATATCAATTTGCAGAGGAAACAAAATCACATGCTAAGACAAACTGAGAAAATGAGCCATGAAAACTACATATCAAATCTGAAGAGCGAAAATAGACCTTTATTTGTCTTAGCTCTGAAGACCTCAGTTTCATGGCAGTAGATGTTATAATTATCTGTCAATATTTCATGTGACTAGATAAGTTTTTTAATTAAAATTCATTTCTATCCAGTGTGAACTTAGATAGTAAACACTGTATGGAAACAGTAAAAGTGGCACCAAAAACATAACTCTTTAATGCTAGGAGTCTATTTCCAAAAAAGAATATGAGTTAGGAGGCAACTATCAGGAGTTATGGACTGTTTGATATTGCAGACATGAACTTCCAGTCTTAAGTGAATTTTTTTTTTAAATCCATTACATAAAAAACATGCAGAAAGGACTATGAAACAACAGATGTACATGCTACTGCTGCATTAAGTGTTCTCCAAATTTCTACTTTTTTGAGGTGAAAGGGCAAAAAAAAGAAAGAAAAAAAATCACTCACATTTCTGCAGTCTGAAATTTGATCAGACTGCATTACTGAATCAGTATTGCATACCTGCCTCTACACAGGTTCAAAAAATGTAGACAAGAGTAGGTTTTATTTCATGTCAAGAAGTTAACTCAAATACCTACTGAAACTTTATCAA